GCCAGGTATATATAGAGTGTGAAGTAGCAAAGAAAAATTTCAATCGTAAATCGTTTTAATCGTAAAATTCTAAAGTCATCAAAATTTTACAATTTACATCTTATACTTATCAACTCCTTCTACTAGTAATAGCAGCGCTGTCTTAAAATTCCAACGTACATGCTGTTCATCCTAATAACATCCAAAAATATCTGCCACTATATATATCACGTCTAGTCTCAGCTAGTCATATTTGATTGTGTTTCTCTAAAATATTACTCACTATAGAACATACGACTACAATGCTACATAACGTTTCTTGGTAAATTACTTTCACTCTAGACATCTTACAAAAAGAAGCTGGCTTAGAAATCATGAAGCATGCTAGGAATCTGTACGATAGTGAAAAAACTGTTCGACCATTTGTAGCGTAAGGTTAGGGAACTAGCTCATGCGTTAATAGTATTTTATAAAGTGCAGTAGTGTAAATATACATAAATTCTTTTATGTGTACGATAGGGGATTAGACTATTGACTATAAGAGTATTCTTGGTATTGTAGCCGCCGGGTTTGACCGCTTTACAGGCTTATCAAGATGTCCTCACCAAATCTTGAACAAATCATGAATTTTATGCGGCGCCCTTCTACTCAAGCCTACAATATATCGTTATTCTTCGAAGCGATTAAATGAAAAACATTATCCCGTTGTTGACTGTTTTGGCACGGCAAGTTAAAAGTATCTTATTCTTGTATTTAAATACGTGAAAGTGGTGTTTCACATGCAGCGGAATGCATTCCGCTAAAAATTTTTATTGGCGTAGCAAATTTCGTATTTCAATAAGCTGTTGAACGTGAAGCTATCAGTGAACGTTGAACGTTGAAGGTTGAACGTGAACGTTAATACTGAACGTGAAGATATTTAATACTGAACGTGAAGGTATTATATAATGTATAGTTAGCATATTATGTATAAACCTGTAATTATGATATGTATAAACCTGCATTACTGCAGTAACCGAGTGGCTGCCGCATATAATTAAATATAAGCTGGCCTTATATGAGGAATCCATCGTTTGCCATCTGTTTCAAGAATGCCATTGTTGAATTGTTGAAGGGACTGCCATTGCTTTGCAATAAGAACGCGCGATTGCAATAACTGGGCCAGCATTTCAAGTATCCGCGTTTAGAATAATATATGGAAACTAATGATAGACAGACGTGTCGATGTGTCTATGTCCTGGTAGATTAAAGCAGAGTTCTCACGATTCAGGTGAGAACTTCTTGGCTGGTATGCCGGATATTTTCGGCTAGCCTTTGGCGCTCTATTCGCTAAGACATGGAGAGTTCATGTCGTATATTCACCGAAAAGAACGTCATTCAGAAAAGAGGTGTGTCTGTCTCTATAATTACGTATAGCGCACCGCCACCGCTCGGCGCCGGCCCCGCCGCCATCCACTCTCGCCCATCGCACTCATATCGGCAACGGGCATCGCCACGCGCGCACCGCCAAACCCACTTACCACTACTACTACTATACGTTCAAACTGGAGCCGGGCAGGCGCTGATAGGTACGTGTGCATGGTAAAGATCTGATCTACATGCTTACACTTTGCTCGTAGGCATGCCGCCACGATTCAAGCTATCTTAAAATGTTATGAGCAAATGGCGCTGTGACGTCGGTCGCCCGTTGACTGGCGGCAAGCATAATCATTTTCCGCCGTCTCTTAGTACGTTCAAACTGGAGCCGGACAGGCTGTGACAGCACGTGTGTAATGCGAAAATCTTGATCTACATGCTTCACTTTGCTCGGCAGCATCGCGCCACGATTCCAGGCTATGCATATGTATGGCAAATGGCGCTGTGACGTCGGTTCGCGTGACTGCCAAGAATAACTATTCTTCCGCCGTTCTTATACGTTCAAACTGGAGCCGGACAGGCTGACAGCACGTGTGTATGGGAAAATCTGATCTACATGCTTCACTTTGCTCGCAGCATCGCGCCACGATTCCAAGCTATGCTAATGTATGGGCAAATGGCGCTGTGACGTCGGTCGCCGTTGACTGCCATGATAAAAATTCTTCGGCCGTTCTTATAATACGTTCAAACAGGAGCCGGGCAGGCTGATCATAACAGCACGTGTGCATGGTAAAATCTGATCTACATGCTTCACTTCGCTCGCAACATCGCGCCACGATTCCAAGCTATGCTAATGTATGGGCAAATGGCGCTGCGACGTCGGTCGCCGTTGACTGCCAGATAAAATTCTTCGGCCGTTCTTATATACTATTACTTATAATAATGCATAAATATGTAAAAATATGGCCACGATTTAAACAAGGATCATTAGCTCATATAAGAACTAATAGAATATAAATGCGTGTCTACATTATACATAATATTTTATACGTTACTTTATATTTTTATAATTGTGTATTTAGGCGATTAAAGACAGCAGGCTGATTGCGATGGTCGGTGTCCTACTGATGATGAACACGACTGTACTTATACTCTGGCTAATCATTGATCCACCCCACGTCAAGACGCTAGAAGCCAGACCAATAGTACGTAGCGTAACAATACCTGGTCTGAACCTTGACCAATAGTACGGTGGTGTAACATTACCAGGTCCGAAACAGAACCAATAGTTCGTAGCGTAACATTTTCAGATTCGAAAACAGAACCAATGGCGCGTAGCGTAACAATACCTGGTCTGAAACTCGACCAATAGTACGTAGTGTAACATTACCAGGTCCGAAACAGAACCAATGGCGCGTAGCGTAACAATACCTGGTCTGAAACTCGACCAATAGTACGTAGTGTAACAAAAATCTGGTTGATCGGTTCGGTATAGATTAGAGTGTCTCAGGTCATTATCGATTGGAGTACCGTAGATTAACATCGATTATATTGACTTTCAGATTAGTATCGATTCGTGCGTTCAATTCATCGCTAGTATTATCACTTACAGGTGAGTCCGCAAGATTCTGACGTCATCAATCAGTACCTGATCGACACGTGCAGCTCGAAGAATGAGGTTTACTTCATGGCAGCGTTGTACATCATTCAGGGAGTACCCTCTTTGGGGGATGCTTTTCTAGCCACGAGACTCGCAAGGTATGAGGACCGTTGTCCGTATCAACACGTGCGCACGCGGGGCAGAGGGCTGCAGGTTTTACTTTGGTCTCGCGTCACCCCATCTCTCTAGGTGTTGTACAACAGTAGAAGGCGTCCATAGGCAGCAGGCCTGAATAAGCATCCAACAGAAATTAATTAAAAATACTCACTGTTTCGCCGCATACACAAATACACTTTATTCATGTTAAATAACTACAGATACATGCTCTATGCTCCGCTTGAAACTTTGCAAGCTCTATGATTGCGAATTTCTACAAAGTAGTCGGATCACAATTTAAACACAAAAATGACCAACCGGTCACCATGGATACGCCAATTGACGGAATGTCAACACCGTTTCAGGCGTGCAGTACCGTCTTAAGAAAACTTCATAATATCGCTTGCTGAGGGAGAGAAGGGGTGGGGGATTGAGGAAAGGCGACAGAGAAGATAGCTGGGGGCGGTAGAAGAAGAAAGAGGCGAGCGAGAGACAGGTGAGGCAAGGGGAAGAACGCTAGGGCATAAAGTAGGTGTTTTTGTACCTACAGCGTAGGGCGCTCTCACTAATTATAAACACAAGTCTACTGATAAAAAAAATTTATAGGTAAATCTATGCTGAGATACTCCCTAACCATATTAATGCATATTTATCACAAAATATAACTCTTCTGTGAGATATTGCGCCATGCGCTAACACACTAACGTTTGCCAGATTGTGTACTGCGCTGGTATACGCAGCTAGGGCCTTACATACAAGTCTCCTCCCTATCTCTCATAGTGATGTCTACGATTGGAATGTTATCATATAAATCTATGCTAGGATAAACTACTCCTCATTTTAAATGCATAATCTTTGCAAAATATTCTTCTTCTCGGGAGATAATTGCGCATGCTGCGCGGCCACCGTTTCAGCGCGTGCAGTACCCTCTTAAGAAAACTTAATAATAATATAGCTTGCTGAGGGAGAGAGGGGGTGGGAGATTGAGGAAAGGCGGCACATGGAAGATAGCTGGGTACAACAGTAAAAAGAACCATAGGCAGCAGGCCTGAATAAGCATCGAACAGAAATTAATTAAAATTACTTACACTGTTTTGCCCCATACACAACTTACACTTTATTCATGTTAAATAACTACAGATACATGCTCTATGCTCCGCTTGAAACTTTTGCCAGCTCTATGACGCGAATTTCTACAAAGTAGTCGGATCACATTTCAAACACAAAAATGACCAACCGGTCACCATGGATACGCCACTTGACGGAATGTCACAGCTACACGACAAGACCAATTTTTCTTTTAATGCTTTCTAAACGTCTACGACGCATCTAACTTGCGTGCATAATGAAAAAAAAGAGTGCACTCTAGTGCCGCATTTCACCGATAAAAAATGCCAAAAAGCCCTTTTCTAGAGAGATCAAATAGTGCAACTGTTGTATGCCTCCTCTATCTCTCTTTCTATATATATATATCTCGTTCTCGCTCACTCTCTCTCTCTCTCTCTCTCTCTTTCTCTCGCTCGCGCTCTCGCGCTCTCTCTCTCTCTCTCTCTCTCTCTCTCTCTCTCGCTCGCTCTCTCTCTCTCGTTTGCCAGTCTTTGTCCCGCCACTCGCTCGCTATGTTGTCTTATCTCTTCTTTCTTTCTCCATCGCTCTCTTTATATCTCTCTCTAGACAGCTCTCTCCCTTCTCCTCTTACCCAGCACGCTCTTTCTTTCTCTCTCTGCCTGTCTCGTTATATATATTTTTATGTAATCGGTATAGGTGAAGGTGGAGGCACTGAATGATTCACAGCTGATCGGCGTCTGCATCTACAACGCCGTTCGTCTGTCGTTCATGGGCGTCGCCATTATGTTCATCCTGCCCGACAATCCACCCGTCAAGTACGGCCTCGTCTCTAGCTTCATCATCGGTGCGAACTACGTTTCACCGCCTTTCCTGCTCTTCTTACCTAAGGTACGATGTTACACTACCCAAGTAGTGGTTAGTGGTAGTAGTGTATAGTAGTAGTAATGTTATGTAGTAGTAGTAGTAGTAGTAGTAGTAGTAGTAGTAGTAGTCGTAGTCGTCGCTGTAGTAGTAGTAGTAGTAGTAGCAGCAGCAGCAGTAGTAGTAGTAGTAGTACTAGTAGTAGTAGTAGTAGTAGCAGGAGTAAGATAATAAAGGTAACCTTTATTATCTTACTCCTGGTAGTAGTAGTAGTAGTAGTAGTAGTAGTAGTAGTAGTAGTAGTAGTAGTAGTAGTAGTAGTAGTAGTAGTAGTAGTAGTAGTAGTAGTAGTAGTAGTAGTAGTAGTGTGGCTCCTTGCCTATCCGCACAATACGGCATCACGCCATCCTCTCTGTCTTCTTCCTTCCTTCAGCTGAAGCGAGTGAGGAATCTCAACGCGCAGATCGCTGATTCGCAGTCTGAAGCGTCGACGAGTGTGAGTAGGATCAATGCGAGCAGTATCTCACAGAAACCGCCCGCAGTGCTAGCCATAGAGCTGAAGATCACCAAGGATCGTCTGAGAGAGGTAACGTGATGTTCGCAGAGACAGAAATGTCCGACATCGTCGGTATATCCATCGTCGCTGGTATAGTCTCACGTTGCAGAAGGATATATCACTGTCGTCGTCGTCGTCGTCGTCGTCGTCGACGTCGATGTTGTTATTGAAACAATGTTCTATACAGATGATCTATTTTACCGAGCTAACCTGGGGTCATAGAACTCTAGTTACCTATAATGCAAGTAATAGAACATTGAAAGAATTATTTGTATAAACTCTGTAATTCTTTATTTCAGTACGAAGCAAAGATCGAGGTACAAGAGAGAGTAATCCGCGATCTAAGAGCACGCATTATTGATGCCTAAACACACGGACACGATTAATACCAATCTGACCCACGGATGGCGCCACTTTACTGCCGTGCAGAATAATGACAAAAGCGCGAAATTCAGAAGGCACAAGCTAAATTCTCAATTAAAAACTCAATTAAAAATTAAAAAAGTCTCCTTTGTCATCAGAGCAGGAGATTACGATTTACTTTCCAATCCTCAGTCAATAAATTATTATTAAGCTGTTATCTAAATTTAAAAGAAACGAGATTCCAGATTTGAGCATTTCGATTGAACCTTCTGGGCTTTCGTACAAACGCACGGTTTGTGATTTTACGATTGATCAACAACATCAGTAGTACTTAGTATAGCAGCAATGTAAAGCGCAACTTGTTTAACTTGTGTCTAGGGTACTGTCGCTCGTAATCTTTATGGCGAACTTTGGTGTTTGACACGTGACCTAGCACCTGCTATTAGTGTCTGGCCAGGATATATATTGTCTAGATACGTCGACAATTCACTGCACTCTGGATGCTGCTAAATACGCCCACATGTACGATGGTGTATGCCTCGATTATGCTAGTGTAGACGCGTAGTGCGCACTACAGAAGTAGAAGTGGTAAGGTATTGCAAGAGACTACAAAGAAGAGAAAGACAAGAAGTAACACGAACGAATGATTTACTTCAAGAGCAGAATAAGTAAGAATACAGATTCTCTCAGTGCAGCCACTGAACAAGGTAGACAAGTTTGGCTATAAAGAACCCCGTATCACGCACTCTACAACTTTCTCGACGAACGTCACAAAGTAAGAAGGGTGCTGAGACTGAGCCGTGCTCCCACTATT